AGGTTAATCGCTTGAACAAGGAGCGTGAAAAGCATCCCCACAGATAAAAAATGATGGCGGTGGCAATCAGTGGGAGTTGTAGGATGCGGCTCGGATCTGCCTCCGAGGTCCCTACCAGCTAGCTCTCAACTTTGACGAGTCTGGAAACTTATTAGGGATGTTTGTGACTTCATTTGCACTCGTTTTCTGAAGGGTATGCAAGAGGAGACTTACACCTTAACTCCCACCAAGTTCCTTGTGCTTAAACCAGGGCAAGCATCAAGGCAGCCATGTGCCCAAATTAAATCAAGTTCCCTCCTCATGTCCACCAGCGGCTCTTTGGTAGTGATCTGTGCTACACAGAGTGGATCCAAGGCTTCTTTTTAGGTCAATGAGGAAGAGGTGGGGACGGCCAGAAGGGAAGAGGCTCTTTTAGGCTCATGGGCAGGCTACATTCAAAGATATGTTCCCCCTTCATTCCTGTGATCTGAAAATTGTCATATGTACATTGGCAGTCACAGAACCCTGGGGAATTTTAAAGTCTCATCTAGGATCCATTTGTCAGGGGACCGTGGGGCATGCCAATTCCAGTTTCTACGAACTGATTGGGAAATCCTAGGATTGACAGTGTTAGAGACCCTCGCGGACTCGAGCTGCCCTGGGCAGGTGTCCTGGTCTCATAGCTAAGGTTGGTCAGACAGGAGTCCAAGGGAGGAGTGTGGGTCCCCAACCTCTGATTATTCCACTTGTTTGCTCTTATTTTTACAGTAAATCTGAAGACAAAATTGACTTTCATCTCAGTGAACAGCAAACAGTGCAAGATGAACATTTGATTATGTGGACAAGTCCTCCGGGTGTGGGAGGGAAACCAAAAATTATCACAAGACGGAGTGGAGGCATCTGTGATTGTCCTGATGATCCTTTCATCAAAGGCTGATTGCCTTGTGTTCTAATGAGGGGACAAAATCACTACATAAAGTCAGTGTTCCTTGAGAGTCTTTTCTTGCCCGGAGTTTAAAATTACCTTAAAATTTCTCATTCTAACATTCTGAGAACATAGCAAGCCAATCTTGCGGCTAGGTTAATTTGCTGAAAATGGCTGTTCTCCATTATGCACAAAGTAAATGGATGCCGTGTAAAAGTGCCTGAAAATTACCTTTGCATAATCAAATCCGTGCTTTTCTTTGATGCCGTTGCGACAAACAGTGTAATTATAGAAACGAGAATTCTTGATTAATCCAAGCCATTCTCGCCACCCAGGAGGGATGTAGCTGCCATTATATTCATTGAGGTATTTTCCAAAAAAGGCTGCAGTGGGGGGAAAGAAAGGGATTATGTTCTCATGTGAAATGATTAATCATAAATAAATGTATAAAGGCAAAAATATGAAACGATGGCTTGAAAAAGAGATGGTAGAAGAAAAGTTAATCCAGGTAACAGTGGATGTCAAAATAACATTAGTATAATACCCCAATCCTTTGGCAAAGTGACATACATACACACATTTTCCTTTTGAGTAAATAAAAGTAGCCCCCAAGTACATGGATTATAATTCAGTAAAACCTCATAATGATCATGGTACTCTGGGTGCAGCTCTTCTTGTGGTTTTACTGGGATACCAGCAGAACGTACCCCTTTGTTCAGTTGAAGTAACAATCAGAGAAGCAGCCGTACTACCCCTGGGCACACACATATTGGAGAGGTGAAAGTTCAGTCCTTGTATTAAATTACGTTTTTTTAACTTACTGTTGGAGGGTTGTGAATTATAGAAACACTACTGAAAAGCGTGTCCTTCTTTTTACATATCCAGAGAGTACAAATCTTCTAAACCGAAGGTCTGAGGTACACTTTGGTTTTATAGGATGTGGTCAGGGTTTTCATATGTCATGTATTTGGTGTCATCTGTGTTTACATTATGTGCATTTTACAAATGTGAGTGTCTATCTCTTCAAAACAAAAATAAAAAATTCTGCCAGCATAGAGATGCTACATAGATGACTAATTTTCATAGAATGATAGGTAGTACGATTAAAGTACTTGCACCATGAATTCTCCGTTCTCATGGAGAAGGCCACTGGAAGGACTGCACATGTAACTTCCACATGTCACATCCATGAAAGGCCACTGCCACCCAGCTTACTGGTCCTTCAGAGAAGCAAGCCATGAACATGTTCCTCTGCCAAAGATGATGGTTGGAGGGGGCTAGGTAGGTTGGGGTTTCAGGAACTAAATGGGTTCGATCTTGAAGCCAGACACCCTTTTTAATGATCAGAAGTGTATCGTTGGCATACTTTTGAGAGAAAGAGGGTGCCACTTGTAACTATTTTAATCCCATCAGGAAAACAGGTGTAAATAAGCACTATTCATAGTAAACCTAAGAGTTTGATTACCTGACTAGACACATTCACAGCCTTCCCCTCAAGTATGAAGGACTAGAGAACATTTTATTTTCTATATGAACTAGAGGCCTGGTGCACGAATTCGTGCATGGGTGGGGCCCAGCTGGCCCACCCCGATCTGGGCCAATCAGGGGCCGGGCTGGCCAAGGAGAGGGGCTGTGGGCGGTTGGTGGGCTGGCCCCACCCCCTGGTTGAAGGGACAATTTGCATATTAGCCTTTTATTATATAGGATACATGGGAATACATATGTGTGTAGTGAAGTGTATGTGTACACACACACTTATATCTACACATACATATACACATGCATGCATGTTTTAATTTCTCTGATCTTTAAAAGGCCTCCCTCTTTAATTTAGGGAGAGAGCATGTCCTCTGCCTTCTAGGTCAAAGCCATTTCCTGGCTTCATTAGGCAGGTTTTACAATGAAAACAGGTGGTTCCCGGATGACTGGCTTGGGATGAAAACAGACTCTAGAATCCAGGCACTTCCCTGGTATTGTCTTAAAGCACATATTTCTCCATCATCACCTTATCCACTGTACGTCATTTCCGTGTCTTTAAGGGATAGCTATTTACCTTGCTCTCATCTTTGATCTGCAACTACCTGTAGTTTATCTCCATCTGAATGTTTTACTTGCCCTTTAACGCAGTCATCCAAATGGAATTAGTCATTTTCCCTTCCAAATTTACTTCTCCGCTACCCTTTAATTCTCTGAGTGGTGTAATCGCCCTGCTGGGTAACATGCTTGGCAGCCCAGAGCCTTCCCTGACTGCACCTGCCCCTCGCCCGGCAGTCGCCACCGCCTGTAGGTTCCACCTGGGCGATGGCTCTCGAAGCTTGCCTCCTCCTCTGATTACGTGATCCCCCCACAGATGCCCAGTCTCCTGTCCAGCTCTTCTAGCCAGGCTCCAGGGTCTTCCCACTCTCAGTACCGCCTTCCTGTAGACCAGCTTTGGTCACAGCACCCTATTCTCAGTCTAGATGAACCCTTGTCACCTGCAGGATCCAGTTTATTTGATGGAGTGCTATCCTCAGCCTTCCTTGGGTCTGCACAAAATCACTCTCTCTCTAAGTCCACCTGCTCTTCTTGGCTCATGTCCCTCTCTGCAGCTCTAGTTTGCATCTCTCTACCTCTCCTGTGCCACTGTCTTCATCTCCCTTCCTCTGTCAAGGCCAGAGCACTGCCATTTCACTCCTGGTCTTGGCCCCAATCCCGTAGCCATTTGTGTCTGTGGCTCTAACGACATCCTCTCTTTCTTCCTAGTGGTAGTCAAGTTCATATGTGAGCCTAACCCTTCTTAGACTGTAAGGTTTTTGAGGACAAGCATTACCTTGGCCTCATCTCTGTACCCCGTCTCCATCCTTGCCCATAGTATAGGGGCTCCATAAGTTTTGTTTCTTGAACTGGGGTTTATGGATCCTCATGCGTTTTGGGGATTCCACAGGTTCCAGACTTGTTACATTTTGTGTTTTCACTTGGATTATAATTTTAACACTGATTTGGTCTAAATATTTTCATACAATAGAGCTCCAGAGTTGCTGAAGTTGATGTTTCTCTGACTGATTTTTTTTTTAAGAGTTGACTTCAGTCTGAGAACAAGGCAATGTCTACTTATTGGTAGAGTGAATGTTTAGCTGTTGAATCTGTGAGTGAGTGAATGGATCAAGCTGTCCCTTAGCCAAACGCCCACAGGCCGAGGAGTCTGCCAGGGCCGCGGAGCAGCTCCTGGGGTAAGACAAAGTGTCAGAGGCTCTCACGTCAGGTCTGACTCAGGATTTCCTCCCAGCTGACCGTGTAGTAGGAATTCTCCTAATGACGGGTTCTTGTCTTCAGAGACTAACCACCTTTTCCCACAGAACCACAAGAGGAGTGCCCTTTTCCGACGGGAGCAACCTGACTTGGAGTCACAGGCAGCCGACCAGCACCGCAGCCCAACAACGTCACTCCAGAAGGGGGCTGTTTCCAGAATCTTCCACTAAATAACCTCAGGCCCAGCTCTTTCCTCTGGCCTGCGCCTCATCCCTGGAGGTTTATTCCATTCTCCTCTCCTTTGGTTTTCAAAGAAGTAAGAGAGCGTAATGGTTTGGGATACAAGCCCTGGAGCCAGCCTGTTTGGGTCCCCATCCTGGCTTGCTATTTGCTTCGCCATGTGCCTACCGGCAAGTTACTTAACTCTACCTCTGATTCCCTTTCCTAAAACCGTGAAGATAATAATAACAGCGGTAGCATTCTGGCCAGGATTAAATGAGTTAACGCAAATATCAAGTGCTCAACACAGTGCCCAGCACATAACAAGAGCTTTTTAAGTGCTGCTACTGCTGCTACTGTTATTAGCATCACTATCATCTCTATCCTTTCGACTCTGTGTTCTGATTGTAAATAATTGACCATTCTGTGGTGCAAGGAACTCTCATCCCAGATTTCTGCACTTGTGTGTTTGAAAACATTTCCTGAGAGGTTTTCAATATTTTCTTTTCCGATCTGATTGATTTTGTGGCAACACATGCTCTCCCATTTGGCTCCTTTTCCCCTGCTCGATTCTTTATAGAAGTGTTCCTGTTCCTCTCAGTTTTATTTTTTGTTTTTTCCTCCCAGGGCAGCCATGCCAGGCCCTTCCTTCAATTGTTTCCCTCGAAAGACTATTTTGTACTGTTTTCTACCCATTGCCATGGCCATTCGCTGCCCTTTCATCCTCTTCCTATAAACTATTTCTACAAGTCCCTTTACTGTGCTTGTCATTCACGTCAGAACTCCCTCCAGGTTTTCGGTGGCTCTGTGTTAATGGAGTGCAAAGAATGTACTCAGTTTTCCAGATGTGCCCTCGCCCATCACACTTGTTCCAAGAAAGACCGGGACCTCATGCTGCACAAAGCGTGTTGGCAGCATCGAGTGACTCTGGCCTTTTCTGTTGCCTCCTGACGTTGAGACTCATGTGTAATCACCCCTGGCAACACTCTGCAATTGATTATCTGGCCTTCTAATGATCTCCCTCCAGATGTATTAAATCTCTTCCTCTCTCCCTGAGGTGAATTTCATTTGCTTGCCCATATTGCCATTATAGTATGTGGAGTTTGAAGTTTTTCTCCCCTTTGGTGCTGGCGTTCAACTTCACTTTCTGCTGTGCTATCTGAATATATCACCAACAGGCCACCGGCCCGCCCTTCCGTGCCATTGTCTCTGGGAGGCCACTGAACACGTCCCTTCACAGCTGTTTAAGAAGGTGGTGGTGGTGGTGCCAGGAGAAAGATCACAAAGACTTGTTATAATTATTTTTTACTTTAGGCCATGCTACTCTGTCCAGGACTATTTGTGCCATAATACAGAGGAAAGTTTCCTTGAGCTATTTAAAGCAAGGGTATTTAATTTTATTATTATTACTATTGCTGTTGTTATTAATCCTCACCCAAGGATATTTTTTCTATTGGTTTTTAGAGAGAGTAAAAGGGAAGGAGGTCCCAGCTGGTTTGGCTCAGTGCATAGAGCATCGGCCTGCGGACTGAAGGGTTTGATTCCTGGTCAAGGGCACATGCCTGGGTTGCAGGCTCGATCCCCAGTGGGGGGCATGCAGGAGGCAACTGATCCATGATTCTCTCTCATCATGGTTGTTTCTATATCTCTTGCCCTTCTCCCTTCCTCTCCGAAATCAATAAAAATATATATTTTTAAAAAAAAGGGAAGGAGGAAGGGGAAGAGAGAGAGAAACAGAGAAAAATAATCAATAAAAATATATATTTTTTAAAAAAGGGAAGGAGGAAGCGGGAGAGAGAGAGAAACAGAGAAAAAAGGTGTGAGAGAGACACATCGATTGGCTGCTTCCCACACACACATCCCAACTGGAGCTGGGGATTGAACCTGGAACCAAGGTACATGCCCAGAATTGAACCTGTGACCCTTTGATGTGCAGGCCAACGCTCTAACCACTGAGTTACACCGGCCAAGGCAAAGGTATTTATTTTAAATCAGCAATAGTAACTACACAAAAGATTTCTGATGCTGTGGAAAAGTTAAATCTTATTCAATATAAAAAATGATATGCTAACTAAGACTTTTTACTCTATGAAACTGATAGATTTGGGTCACAGGACTTCACGGGTTGTAAGTAGTAATACACATCATTTTAAACAAAGTAAAAATTATGATTTCCTCTTATGTCAACCCATCTGGTTTCCCCAATTAGATTGTAAGTCTAATGAAGACAGGGATCTTATTTTATATTTCTTCTCAGCCCATTGTCTAGTGAAGTTCTAAGAATGCTCAATAAATAGCATACTGTGGAATGCTAGGTCTTCTGTTATGTACTCATAAAAAGAATATTAGTTTGTCTTACTTTAAGTGAACTCTATCTTTATAAAATCCTATATTAGAGAATAAATATACCTGCCATAAGTAACATAAATAAATTTTATAATATAAAAGACATGAAACTAGAAAACTTGACTAATTTGTATAAATTGTTTCGTTACAAAAGAATATTCTACAAAAAGTTGGACTGCAGATCTCTGTTAAGTATTGCCCTTTATACTTCAGTGATATGTAGAATTAGCAAAACTAAAATTTAATTCACATGTGATTTCAGGTATCATTTGTTTTGATTATAATTTGAACACTACAATTTTTAAGTGAATCAATATAATAACTGCAGTGGCCATTATAAAATGACAGTATAATTTTGGACAGGAAAGAAAACTTAGGAATCCTTCTAGTCCAATCTCTTCATTTTATCGGTTGGAAAACTGGCCTCTCTACAAGTTCTCAAAAACAAATGAAAGGCCAAATGAGCTAGGACGTGTCTCCAGGTGGCCTCAGTCTTTGTTCGGTGTTTTTGCTAACACTTGATGCTACCTCTGAAACCTGGCTTATCCCCTTGACCTTAAAACTAGGCCAGGTTTCACATGCATGTCTATCCCCTCACAAGAAATGCAAGCTAAAAAAATTTTGAGCATAGAGTCAGGCAGGACATTCATTTTTATGATCGATAACCCAATGTCATTCCCAGTTCACTTGTCAGAACATAAAATGCAACAGACATGTTACTGTATTTTCCCTTTCTTGAACATTTAAGCGGTTGTGGACTCATATTTTCCATGAGTAAGTTTAGAAAAATTTAGACTATAGCCAGTCCAAAAATATGCCTCAGTTCTGAAAAAGAAAAATCATGTCATACAACAGTAAATATAATATTGGATCAATTCGATTCATTTAAATCCATGTATTCTGGATTCTTCCCAAAATAAACCTCTTAGTAATTTGTCTTCTCTGAGCTGTTCTTCATAAATCTAATTGCTGCTTGGTGCTTTTCTCTCGATGGATATTTATGTCTAATACATATTTCAGTTTCCTTCATTATTTTTCTTCGGTTCTCAGCTAAATGTTCCAAATAATATATTCATTATTAAGACAACAATAAAATCTTTATATGCTGGCTCTTTTCCGACTAGTCTAGTGGCTCATGAATAATTATGCTGGTTTAATACCTACTCACCAGTTCTCTTAATTTCCTAAGGTGCCTGTCATCTTGATATGCTTATGTGTTTATTTTCAAATGTGTCACTGTCCCTGATTAGATCAATAATTATTGTCACAAAGACATCTTTGCTTCCTAATTGTCTCAGACACTTCAATATGCTCCCATCAAAGATAAATTTAAACTATGTAGATCCTATCACTGCCATTTTAGTCTTCCATTTATAATTTTTCTGATTTACTAATGGGCACATCAATATTTGTTTTCCACACTAAGTATCTGGATGCGTCCTTGTTACCCTTGAAAAAATGCCTTAAATTTTGCAGGATGACTCACTATAAATTCCACTATTACCTAAGTGTCTGGACCCCCAGGGAGAAGGCTGGCTTCAGAACCTGTCTTAGTTTCCAAGAACATATCTCCTCTCCCTGAAAGAAGCAGGCCTGCTGGGCTGAACAAAAGGTCAGACGCTTGTCATGGGCAAAGCCTTATGATGTGCAATTTCATCCTGGACCGAACCCATGAGTTAGAGTCGCACACTGGAGAGAGCCCCGAGGACCAAGGCCCTGACGCCTGGTCTTCCCATTAGAACATCGAATGTATCACTTCAGTGAGTCAACTTAATCTTGTGGGTCTAAGGGAATTGAATGAAATTATCTCTGAGTTTCATTCAAGATCTTGCAACCCATTTTAGGGTAGATACAACAGAGCATGATTGAAACAAGTACATGTACAATATTGTCAACTACAGTCACATTGCTGTATACCATGCCTCCAGAACTTATCTTGTTTTCCCCCTTTCTTGGTTTAGTCCTGAAACAAATTAGCAAACCCTCATTGGCTGCCCTCAGCCCTGCAGGATGCTCTGACTCACCCTGCATTTCTACTTATCACAGACATTGTCCATATTGCTCTGGATATGGTGAGAGTCCCAACCCTCCAAGCTGTATGTACTCTGCTGGGAAAAAATTATAGGGAGCCTGGGAGTTAAAAGGAGCCTGATCTCATACAATGCTTTCCAGGAACAAGACAAAATTGGGTGGTTCAAATCAGGAACCATTAAGCATCAGGGGACCATTGCTGATTTTGCTTCTGAGCTGGTCACACAATTTTTGAAATCCCCACTTCAGTTATAAAACAGAGCCAAGTACATTTGCTGTCTACAAAACCCTACAGGGATGCTTGATGCATTTGCAAATTGCTTCAGAGCTCTTGGATGAAAGGTGTTATAAATTTAAATCACTTATGTGAGAAACAGAATAAGGGCCTCGGAGTAACCTAGTTTCTTTCCTCAGCACAAGCAAACGCCCCTGAGATTCCTGGGAGGAGCTTCCTCTGTGAGCGGCTATCTTGAAATGTCTGCGAATGGCAATGCTGTCATATTCACAATGAATAGTTTCATCCACAAATAAAAAGTATTAAGTGTCCACGGGGTGCTCTGCAGAGGAGCCAATGGCCACATGTTTTCTGAGATCAGTGGGAAAGATTAATTTCACTTTTTGAAGAGATTTAACAGAAAACATTTATCTGAAACCCTTTACTTTTAAATCTTTGGGATAGAGAATTTGTAAAATCATTTCCACTAAGCTTTAATGTTAGGTGGTTCTGAAAAACCTATTTTGCATGGTAGCCCCTCTAGAATCATTCTTACTTCCTTTCATGAAGAAATGCTGAAAGCATCTAAATGTTGGAAGAATAAAGGCTTGCGTGAGGGTGGGGGCGGGCCGCCTTACTAGAAAAAGCCTTGCTCCTTTCTTAGAAAGACTGGCATGATGCTTATGACCTCTCTTGAAAGCAGTCCCCAATTTTCAAAAGACCAACTAACCCAAACCTTCCTCTTGCCCTATGTAGGTTAAACAATGAGAGCAGGTATAGCAATTGCCTTCCTTTCTTGGAATGTGGAGGTGAACATCCGAGACCTAAAAATGACCACAACTTAAGCTAAAGAAACTCCAAATCTTACTAAATTATGAATGAATAAATAAATGCATCAATAAGGTACACCTCATTGATTTATTCATTCAATGATTTATTCATTCACTAAATGATTGCGATCATCTACTGTGTGCCAGACCCTGAGGAACAATCAACAGAAATTTACCAACATCTGAAACAAGCCTCACGCTGTGCCATGATGCCCTGAGATTCGGGAGGTCGAGATAAGCAGGCAAATGGGAAAAAAAAATCATCTATGGTAGCTTCTCCTGGGAAATTCCAATTGCTGGCTGACGAGTACAACATTTTCAGAACATGTCCACTGAGAATCATCCTGTCTTCTCTCTAAGGGGCCCCTATTTGGTATATCCTTCAGAGTGAAAAAGTGAGGGAAGGGAAGGATATGATACAGAAGAGAACAGCCTAAATACTTCCATTTAGGAACTTATTGGATCTTCATGTATTTCACCCGGCACTGCATTTGCCTGTGTCTAAGACGTTTTATCAGAGGGTCACGGGTCAGAAGGTTCACCCTTTACCTGTTCTGTAGCCAGTGTTGTTGAGATACACAGCAAAAGTCCGAGGTTCATGCATCGCCTGCCACGAGGGTGAAGAGCAGTTCTCGTTGTTGGTGTAGACATTGTGGTTGTGCACATACTTCCCAGTGAGCATGGAGGACCGGGAGGGGCAGCACATGGGCGTGGTCACAAAGGCGTTGGTGAAAGTGGCCCCCCCATGTTCCATAATCTTTCTCGTTTTGTTCATGACTTGCAGGGACCCTGAAAGGCACAATTCCAGTGTTGTTTAGCCATTTTTGTCTTGTCACTCAGTGACTCTGTTCCCTTGATTTATTCATTTCCTTCCCTTGGCTTGAAGAAGTCTATAATTTCACCAGCTCTCATTTCCAGAACAAAATTAAAACATTTGAGATGCTACTATGTCAAGTATTTTGCAGAATAATAAACACACTTCAGCTTCTCTCCTCCTTAATCACAAGGGGGAAAATGCAGGCTAATCTGATAATTAAAGCTGGAATTCCAGATACGGAGCAGATTCAAAGGCCAGTCGCCCTTTGAAGAGCCCAGAGAACGGTAGTCTCTTACATAACATCAAACCCTCCCCCCCCACCACCACACATGCACAGAGCTAGTGACATTGCAGCGATACCTACAGATAGTGCCTTAATCTATGAAAAAAAGAGGAAAACATTTTTCCTACTAAGTAAAAGTCCCTCCAAAATGCCTGCATTTAATTAAGAAAACAACAAAAAAAGAGATGAATGTAACTTGGTATCCTCTAGCAAACTCCCCAAATGCCTGCCCAGTGTTCCTCTGAGGATAGCACTACCAGTTTATATTTTCACCTGTTTGCATGTAATTTCAAAAGACAGGTTGTTTGCTTGTAAGAGAGCCATGATTCTAGTGCACTCAAGAGTACTTGCATGGTAGAAAAATATTCCGCTTTCACGGTCAAAGATGCAATTGTAACCTAAGATTGCTGAGGAAGAAAAAAAAATCTATTTCGATTACTCTATCCAGCCAAACACTGCAGCTGAAACCCATCCAAATACTGCAGAGAAAAGCACAGGCCAGAATTCAATAGTCTTTTCAGGACTTGTCAAGAAATGCACTACAGAGCGCCACAGCCAAGCCCACTGCATTTGCATCCTGGAGCCTTACATTTCCAACAGGTCCCACTTCTTCCAGAGAAAGGGAGAAAGTCTGTGTAGTTTTCCAGCAAGGAAGGAAATCGTAATGCAAACCAGGCGAGCATTCACAGCAGAAGAGAAGCGTGCCACCGTCCAAAAAGCCACAGTTCGCCTGATTTTTTTCACATACCAGCTTTTACCATTAGGCAAACAGGAGGGGGGTTTCTAATTGGGTCTCATTAGAGCTCCCTAAACTATGCTTCACTTAGGGGATCCTAACTGCTTCTTCCCCTCTGGGTGTCTTCGGGGGGTGGAGGAGGACCCCACAACCTTCCTGTAATCAGTGAATAACATGTCATGAGCACCCATTTTATGCTGGGCATTTTATCAGCCTTGCACTCTGGGCTGGGCCCCAAGTGAGGCATGAACAAAGGAAATGGAAAATTCTCCGCTGCCTCTGGTCTTCAGTAGTAAATGATCTAAAAGAAAACCTACATTACAAAAATCCTTGGGTTAATTGCAAAGCAACGTACACATCAGAATGGAGGTACAGCAGTTAGCGGTACATCTGAGGTTAGAGGAGACCTAGAGAGACCGTTCAATAAGGGTTCTGAAACGAGAAATGAGGACAAACAGAGGGAGGGAGAAAAACATGCGATAGGTGAAGTGGATTGTTGGGAGAATGGGGAGGATGCTAGGAAGTGGAGTGATGAGTACACCACAGTGGTTTCCTGGAATTGAAAAAAACATGGAGAAGTCTCTTGAAATGTGGGAGCCAGAGTGAGCAAAGAGCTGGAGACTGGGTAGAGATATTTGGATTGGGTAGAATGGACAAAAGAAAGGCAGAGTAGGTTCTTTGCCAAAGGCATGGTAAGAAAAGTCTTTGAGGGGTGTTGCTGTGGCAATGGGAGCACAGGCAGAGGAAGGAATAGGCTGGTCCATCAAGGGTACAGCCAAGAGGTCACTGAAGCCATCAGGCCACAAGGTGATAAGAACCTGAACTGGATTGTGTTGCTAAAATAGAACGACTCTATGAAGCAGATCCAAAGACTCCATAATGCATCAGAAGGGCATAAGTTAACTAACACCTCAAAGATTTCAGCATGAAGAAAAAGACTGAAAAGATAATTGTTTCACTGGTGGCCAAAAAATAAGTAAAAGGAAATATGCCCTATGGATCAAAGAAGTTCATTTTAAAAAAGGTGTATTTTGTACTTGTGTTGGTTGATCCTACAGAGGGAAGCATCCTGGAGATGAGTAGATGACTAGGAACATGGCGTGGGAGAGAGTGAGAGGTACATGCTGAAGTCTCTCAGTCCCCTCTCTTCTTCAGACATCCTCAGTACTTACTCATTGTAATATCCTGAATTCTGGGAAAATTTTCATTTCCTAATAATCTCTTTATTTCAAAGAATGAGCTCTCAGAGTTTTCTTTATGAGACTAGCTGGATTCAAATTAAAAAAAAAATGCAGCCGGAAACCATCTTTCAAGGTCCCAAATAACAAAGCTACAATCTCTAGTTTATAGATGCATTTGGAGTAAAAATATAGGATGGTAGGTGGAAATTGGATCTAAGTTCAAATAATATGAAAATAGGCTAAAACTTAGCCCAATGGAAATCTTTGGAATTGCCCCAGCCAGGACTCGCCTCATTCTAAGTATCCTTAACAATTCCCGCCAATGCTCTCTTCCAACTAGTCCCATGTCAAAGCGATCCATGAAGAGATTTGGTCGCCACCATCACTGTGACCACCACAGCTCCATCACTGGGGCTCCTGAAAGGGGCACCTAGTTTGAAGCTTCTTAGTAAAGAGAAAATTCTGAGACATCCTTCTCCAAATTTAAACATCATCCGGAGAACACATTAAATCACAGAATTCTGGGCTCACCCAAAGAAACAGACATAGTAGCACCAGGGAAGGGCCTGAGAACTTGCATTTCTAACAAGCTCCGTGGAGACCACACTTGGAGAAGTATTCTAGGTTGGACACAGAATTAGGGAAGCCTAGAGCTGGAAGTGACTTTAGTGGTTGCCTTGTTTTAAGTGATCTAAGTGGCTTAGACCATGTTCAAGGCTGTCAGATGTTGTGTACACAGAAAAAGAAAACTGATTTTATACTTCCGCTCAGGTTCTCCTCTAAGAGCTCCACATACATCAGCTCATTTAATCCTGACAACAACCCTTCGTAGTAGTGGTGCTGTTTTTATTATTCCCAATTTATGGATGTTAAAACTGAGATGTAAAGGCTTAAATAACATACATGGGGCCACACAGAGCGCAGATGCAAATACAGGCAGCCTGCTCCAGAGGCCATCTCTTCAGCTCATGAGACTGAGCACGGACTGTGACACTGATGTTTTCAAGACAGAGAAAGAGAAATGATGTCTGCTTGTGGTCAAGATATGCCTCCCTTTCTGTAGTCTCATATTCTGCTCCAGCTGGCCTTTAAGGGGAGATACTGACAGACACTAATGCTTGCCTCTTGCCCTCCCAAGGGTTGAAGGCATCTTAGTAGCTTAGGCCCAAGAGAAGGGTGAGTGGGCTGAAGATGGGTCTGTCTTTAGTAGCTGACAGCCATAATGGTGTCAAGCTCAGCTTCTGATCTCAACCAGGATTCCCTGGTTAGACTCAGAGGATGGAGTGCAGGAATCATACCTCTTCTCTCTGTAAAGCAAGCTAGCAGGCACCAGCGAGGTAAGCACAAAGCATCTTTGTTTACGGCTATGCAATGATTAATATTGGTCAATAACACTGCCTTGCACTGCATCTATTGCCATGTGACTGTGCCATTGATTTTTCATTGGGAAGCTCTATAAAGAAGTTTCCTGTAATAGAACTCATAATTATGCATTTACATCTATTGAGAGGAGTGGGTGGGACAATGTCCTGTCCTATGGTAGGAAGGGCAACAATGTCCTTTGTTTTAAGATGAAGCTCCTCACCTCTCTGGGTTTCAGGCCTTTGGTGCCTAAAATGCAAACCATGCTGGTTCACAGTTATCAGAACAATTATTTCACAGAAATGATATGAAACTTAAGATGGAAGACTCATGACAATATTCCCACAGCAGGGCTTAGGAGGATAAGAATAAGAAGAGAAGGAGACTTGAACTTGTGGGACAACATCTGATTTTGCCACAGATTGGCTTGAGAATGTCATTTACTCTCCTTTCATTTGTGCTTTTCATCTGTAAAATGGAGCTAATAACGGTTCCCCTGCCTAGTTTACAGCATTGATGGGGAGACAATGGCACAGGGCCACAATTTCACTTGGTGCTCATCTCAACCCCACGTTTAGTTTTCTCATGCCTTTCCCATCTCCCTCTCTGTAATCTACATCTCAATTCCAAAAGCTGGGTTAAGAGTAGAGAGGTTACCCCAGGCTGAATGTATCCCTGAAAATTCGTATGTTAAAACCTAAGACACCAAGTGATGATAGCAGGAGTAAGACCTTTGGAAGGTGATTAGGTCATGAAGGTAGAGTCCTCATGAATGGGATTAGTGCTCTTATACAAAAGACTGCAGAGAGCTCCCTTGAGCTCTCTTCTGCCAAGTAAGGACACAGTGAAAAGACAGACATTGATGAACAGGAAATGGGTCATCACCAGACATGGACTCTGCTGGTGCTTTGACCTTGGACTTCCCAGTGTCCAGACTATTTATAAGTCATTAAACCCCCCAGTCTATAAAGGGTTATAACAGCCCAAAGAGATGATGATTGAGGTCAACTACTTTTTCTATTTTTTAAGACTTAAAGTGTTAATGCTGGCTTATAGTTAAAAATATCAGTTAATCCCCCCTGCCACACAAACTGCCCTTCCCTCTTAAGCTAAAAGCCTGACTTTATTATCATTTACAGTTCTCCTGTGAAGTGGGAGCCTGACAGGGATGCAATGAAGGGACTGAAATTAGGTCCAGCAGCTGGCATAGGGGCACTGCTGACTGGGCTGGCTTGAGGACAGGGAAGGTCCCAGCCACAGCTGAGCCTCAGGACTGCCAAGAAAAGCTGTCCCAGTGCCAGAGTTCCAGGTTGGAACTGGGGAAGCCTGCTCCTGCTATCATGGGGTGGGGAGGCTATGACAGCATTCGTCGTGGACCAGAATGCTGCTCGGACAGCGGTGACTGGGAGG